GCAGAGCAGAACTTATAAGGAGTATGGAATGCCAAAACTATTGGACTCATTTTATGAAAAATGTTTGCAAAACATTCTGAAAGTTGATTTAAGGTGATTCAATTTAGTGCTGTTCCGTTTGCATATAAAACCGAAAAGGATGACAGTTGAGGGAGCAGATCCCCAAGCGCATAACGAGCTGAAAAAGATGCTTTGCATACGAAATACAAAGCCTGACATAAAAAGAAACGGCAGCAATGAGCCGGACGAGCAGCAGAAACAATAAACGTATCACAGGTCACCAAAAAACCCAAAAAAAAACGAAAACACACGGAAATTGCTTGGGGAAAGGGGAAAACCTACGGAACTAAGAGAAAACCTGGAAAACCAAACCCCCAAGCCGTAAACTTGAGCCGCCTACAGAGTCCAGGAACAGACAAAAAGGATTATAAGCGCAGGGGAGGATAAAAAATGAGAAGGTAAGGGGGAATTCGGCAGCCTCTCTGCGTCCAGAAGTGAATTAAAGCTGACACAAAAGGATTCGGCTTTGGAGCAGGGTGGATACTGGAAGGCTTGCCCTCAAAGTCCACAGGGTGGACTGTGCCGCATATGTGGGTGTCTAATAATATGGTACTACCACAGAAGTTTGGTCGAGAAGAGATAGCCATGCAGCCAGGGAAACCCAGAGCATTTAACTTCGGTTTCGGTATCGGTTTCGGTTTAGTGGGGTTTTTGTTCTTTTCCCCCGAATCCTTTTGGCGCTGGCTGTCAGCAGCTTTCGGGGGACAGCTGGGAGAAAAAGCGTCGCCATATCGATTCCACCTCGAATCTTTTTGGCCAGCAGTCTCTGGCAACCACCGCTTGCTAACCTGGTTTGTTACCTGATTATACACAATCGCTTGTGTGAGTACAGTTGTATGTATGTGCTGAGTCCCCCCGAGTCCTGTCTATTTGCTCAGTGCAGCGTAAACTCTGCAGATAAGTCAAAGCCAAGTGCAGCCAAGTTAATATTGCATGCGGATAAATTGGAGCTCATATTCCAGCTGCTCCACACAACTCCCCTCTCTTCTTGATCGTTGCCTTTGGCTTTATGCATTTCTGATGCTGATTCCAGATTTTGCAGTCTGCATTTGATGGCTCAAGTTTTAGTTGTTCAAATGTTGGGGCATATGACGTTTAGAAAAAAGAGGTGGCTAACAAACATGCACATATTATGCATACAACTTATTGAATAATGCAATAGTCTTTAGCTTAATAGTTAGTGATATTGTGGTTTTCAGCAACGCCATGTAAAATAAATGTTTTTTAAATATAGTGGGTGTGCCGCCGTCGATTCAAACTTTCTTGTTTGTTTGGCTGCTCTAAGCATCTCAGAAACTTAGTCATATTTGGATGAAACTTGCACAAGTAAGCAAAAGCAAAGTTTTGAAGGGGATAAGTGAAAGGAAATGGGAAAAAAATATTTTCGAGTTTAAACAGAGCGGTCGCAAAACTTCTTCAAAGAAACTTAGCAGCCATTCATGACAAAATCTTTTCAAAATCTGAACATAATATAAATGAGTCTATAGTATTTCTGAATCAACTAAACAAACCTATAAAGAAAACTTGTTCACTGTACACAGAAGTCCGTCCACAGCCATAAATATCAATTTTTTGCAGCATTCCAAACAGAACTTGTACCTTAGCATATCTAAAACACCACATATATCAACCATACATAAGTTTATTCAATTTATCAAACAAGCTTACAACTTTTAAATACCACTTTCCGCATAAAAAGGTTTAAATTAATCCCTCATCAACATTCTCTTAAATCCATCAATTTACCATTTTACGTTTTCAAGTTGACCCGGAAACAGAGTTTCCCTTCCCCCACCCTTTTCTTATCATTCCGAATTCCCCGTAACTGGCTCAAGAAATGTTTATATAACATTTGCTCTGACACATCGCTCAAGATGATATAACAAGGAATAAACATAATCGAATAAATAAGCAACGTGGGGAGCAAGCAAACAGCCTGATACAGCCAAATCGAATTCCAGTTCCCAACTTTGTCAGCCAGTAACTCCAGCTCGGTGTTGAAGGCTCAGAGTTTGGTCATAAAGGATTTACACGGATGTTAACACGGCCGACTAAAATATGTAAAATGCTACAATGGCAGTTCCAAGAGCAGCAGCAGCTGGATGAGGATGAGGATGGTGATGGGCTCTGTTTAAATTTTCTGTCATTTTGTTTTGGAAATGGGGAATGGGAGCTGGGAGCTGGGTTATGGCTGTCAGTAATGCTTGAACGCCCCTTGTGAGCACCACTTGACAGGTTTTCCCCCAGCGGCTGTATTTTTTCCAGGGGAGGAGGGGTCTTGGCCCGGCTAGGACGAGCATTCGTCAGTGGTGGGGAGACATCACTTGGTGATGTGTTTATTATGTGCCTCTAATATATTTATGAGGCGTCTTATAAACGCATTTTTATTTTATTCACATGGCCTGTCTCGCTTTCTCTGCTCGGCAAACAATCAAATCGCAAAACACCACCAAAAATAAAAGAGGAATAAGGCAAACAACACCCGTAGGTATTTTTGCTTATTTAAAAAAGATTCCAAATTCAGGCAGACATTTTTTCTGTCGTATTGGGCGCGCGCACGGAAATGATGCGCATAATAAAAAAATCCTTATGAATTTATATGGCGAAAATTATTTTGGGAACTTCTCGAGTGGCTCAGTCATCAGAATTTCCGCAGCAGCCTCCGTGGAAATTCCGATTTTGATTAAAGACCTTTTGGGGAATTATGCGGCTTACTTAAATTGCCAAACAGCAGTTCCCCGGCTCTTTAAGTCCACTCAACACAGTTTCATGGCTGCTGCCATAAATTAACCCATCTAAGGCATAATTATGTGGATAAGCCATGGCGAAGCTTAGTTAGAGCTGCCATTCAGCAGCAGGAAGTGGGCGTGCATTTTTAACCAGCCATATCTGCCCCTCTTCCTTTCTAAGAGCTTTGGGTCAGGTCAAGCCGAGCATGGCATTTACTTAATTGGCGCTTTAAACTGCAAAATGCAGTCACATCCAGCCAGTGCAGCATGCGAGTGTATGCGGCTCACTCGTAAGCTCGCGTAGATGTATTAGTTCTGGCCATGTCGTGACTTAGCAAGGACAAGCAGCGGAAATGTGAAAAATGAGCCAACAAAAGCGCGTCGGAAAGGCAGCAAAGCACTCTCACACAGTACATAACACATACGAGCAGTAAGCTCGCCGCGTACGTGTATTTATAGCTGTTGGCATATAGAAGCCATAAGCTGCATTTGTTGGCCCGCAGCTACGAAGCCTTTTGCCGTGGCTAATGGTCGCGGTCAGAAAGCCCCTTTTTTAGCATCCTCCGCGCTCAAGAGCGCCGAAAACGGGCGCGCTTTTATTTGCCATTAATAAACCCAGCGGAGCCAGTGGGTTAAGTGCTACCCTGTAGCATCCACATCAAGTATATAAATATATATAATTTACCATTATAAATAAAATTCAAATTTGAATATGGGTTTGGTTTGCTGAACATTGACCTCGTCATTCCCATTTGAGGTTGGGTCATCTGAATAGGAGAAACGCGCCCATAAAGAGGTAAGCCCGATAAAAGAGAACTATCTGCTCATGCAGGAAATTGTGGTCTTTCGTCGCGCAAATTAGCGGCATTAGTTGGGGCTGCCTGAGGTGTGGGGTTGGTCTCGATGGTCCGCTGTGGCCAAAGAGGGCGTGGCTAATGGGGGGAGCTATAATGACCAGGAACTGCGTTCACTCGTGCTGGAAACTGCCGCTTTGGCGTCGCTTTTCCCATTTTCCCGCTGGCATTTTCTCATTTTAATTGATTTAATCGGCTTTGGCACATGTGTCGCGATCGTGATCCCCAGTCCCCATTTATACTCCTTAAATCCATCACTTGCTGCTCATTAAAAATGCCTCGTGCTGGGCTGCCCATTTCTTCTGACTGTTTTTTTTCTTTGTTTACCCCATTTCCGCTCTATTGGCGTATAAACAATTTTTGCGCATTAATTGAATCGCGATGTTTGTGTGTGTGCGTGCATGCGTGCTTGTGTGTTTGTGTGTGACATGCATAAGCCAAATTAATTGGAGCTTCATTCCACACACACACACACACACACACACACACACACACACACACACACACACACACACACACACACACACACACACACACACAGGCGAGCGAATTTTACGTCCTTTTGCTGGCTAGGATTTCTTGCCTTCTATTTTCTTGTTTTTGTTTACTGGCAACAAAGGCAACGAGCTTCCTAATGAAGGTTTAATTAGCAAACACACACGCAGAGACACGCACTTACAACACCCACACACATGCACACTCCGGCAATTTTTGGAAAAGGGGAGAAAGTAGAAATAGCATTTCAATTATTTGATGTGCTGTGTGCCATCGCCTAATTCCAATTTTAATTAGTTTATGTGGTATATTTCGTAAGTGATTGATTGATTGATTGATTAAATTAGTTGAAATACAATTAAATAAAAGCTTAAGTTGGCATGGACGTGTAAGTGAAAGCGTACAAACAAAGAAATTGGAGAACGAGAGGAGGTGCTACATTCCTGCAATACATGTATTCAAAGAACTTGTGTAGAAACCAAAATAAATCCACAACCTATACAAAAACGAGAAACCAGGACGGCCAACATTTTAAGCCCTTTTTTTGTGGGCGAGGGACAAAAATTCCATCTGACATGCGACAGGCTCCACGGGGCTAAGGAAAAATGTGGAAAAACAGAGAGTATATGACAGATAAAAGGATGGGTGGGGTCGAAAATAACAACTGGGACAGATGCGGTTAATAATTGGCCAGGTGGAGAGCTTTCATACTTGTCACTCGCCTGGCTCGAAAAAATACTAGCTTAGTTTCAATGGAAAAGCTTTAATGGGTAAAAGAACTCTTTTCCTGACTGTAAACCCACACATTTATTAGCATTTTCCGACTCACGCCCCACTTTCGTTTTGTTTTTGCTCTTTCCAGGACCTACAATCGGAAATTGAAACCCATCGCGTGGTTTACGATCGTCTCGATGGAACCGGCCGCAAACTTTTGGGTTCGCTCACCTCACAAGAGGATGCGGTTATGCTGCAGCGTCGCCTCGATGAAATGAATCAACGTTGGAATAATTTAAAATCGAAAAGTATTGCAATCAGGTAAGTGCTTTTGACTTCTTGTTTCCTATAGCCAGCCTCGATTCTCATTTTTTGCCTTCCTGTTTTTTTGCCTGCTGTTGAATTGTTTGTCCGGGTGGGGGTGAAAAAACAGTTTTGTTGCTCGGTTCTGCTGCGGCTTTTTTGCTCTTGTTGTTGGTCGGTCTGCCATGTTTATGCTCGTGGGCTTAGGGGGGAGCAGGGTGATTGCGGCCCAAGGATGCTTGAAAGCCAGCTGAATAGAATTAAAGTAGCTCCATGCAGTTTTTGGCTTCCGTGTTTAAATGGGCATGAAGTCGAGGGGCTGTCGGCGGGCTAGTAAATTGCCCAGGGGCTTGTTAAACAGCCAGCTGGCCGTATGATGAATGAAACCGAATCTAAGTCAGATTGCCTACGAATCAGCTACGGAGAAATAAAATACTTATCCCAGCACTGCTTTAAGTGCTAATTAAACCGCGTTAAGCCGTGCACAAAACGAGCAGTGCAGCGACATTGTTTAACAAGTTGAAAACAAGCCATGCCCTCTCCTGTCTCGTGTCTGCTGTTAAGCAACTCCGTGCCGATGAAAATGGGAAAATGAAGGCCGGAAAAGCGAGCAGTCAGCTGGGCTGCGTTGAAAAGGGGACACACTTTACGGCTGACAAAGCCGCGAGGCGAACGAAAATCAATATTAAAAACGAAACGCGTGAAAAGTGATGGAAACGAGTGAAGGTCCGAAAAGCCCGGTTCCATGGACACTGTGTCATTGATGAAATCGTGTGCAAACACTGCCCCAGTATCCTTCGTCCTCCTGTCCCATTTTTTGTTTCTCCTCTTTTTTGTGTTTGTAATTTCCCCATTTCATAAATAAAAGCTGGGCCTGGGCCCACAAATATTGCACGCTTGTTGATATTGATGCTGGCGATGATGAAAGTCGGTCTACATGTTTACAAAAGGGGTGCGGTGGGTGTAGGGTATGGAAAAGTGGGCCGAAATGAATAATGATGATGGTGGTGACACGCAGAAATTCGCTCAACGCGGAGACGGCGAGATCGCATAATGAATATAAATGGCAATTATCCGTCGACCAAGACAGCACGGCGTATACGTGATGTTGCGCCCAAAACAGTAGGCAATGTTAATTTTTCCAAGTTTGCATTGTGGCCACCTTATAGTTTGATCAGTCTGCACGCTTTTAACAACAATTACATTTATTAAAGAAAATATTAAATTCTAAATAAAATGTAAAGGTGCTAAGCTGGAGCTATTTATTATAATATATTATTTGTTAAGTGTTTACAGTTTTTGTAGGGTATACTTCCTAGCGATGCTGCTTTGGCAGGTTGCTCAAATGTTTTTCAATTAAAGGCAGCAGACAAGATGACGAATGACACCTCGAGAGTGCCCTCCACTCATCATCCTCCACCCAAACTGCAGCCCTCATTACTCTAACGTTCTGGCACATTTCCGTGGGCTAAACTTGGGCCACTTCCTTTGTTGTTTGGCTTGGTTTCCGACCCGCTGTCTGGAGTCGTTGTTTGCGCTGAGGATTTGTTGGCTTATAAATTCCTCGAAAATATTTTGGACAGCACTTGAAAAGTTTCACCGTGGCTGCCACTTCTCAATCCCCCCACGACTTTCCCTCCTTCTATTTGATTTTGGCCATTGTTCGCTGTTCGTTTGTATTAGCCGCGGCACTTTTCGGCTTTGGGTCATTTTATGCGCAAAGTTTCGTTGGCTTTGAACTGTGCAAACTTTTTGCGTGCGGCATCTCTACAGGTGTTCCGAATCTGGTTTATTCCCCCTTCACATTCTCGCTGATTGCTGTGTCTGATCTATATGGTTGTGTGTGCGTGTTTGCGGAGAAGATTGATGAACCCGTATCTCTTCAATGGATTCGTTTTCTCTTTAAGCTCCTTTTGGCGGGTTAAAAGTGATTTAATCGAGAATTTTTTCCCGACCAGATTTATGCTGAAGTGATGGATGTGAGGGAATGTCCGTAATCAATCAATACGCTTATGAAAAGCACTTAAATAAAATCAAGATACCTCATGTATCACATTTTTTATAAAGAATACCTCTTAAATCGTCGTCGTCCTATTATTTTATAGTCGTAAAAGTATGCCAAGTTTAGGAAAATTATTTAATATTGATTGTTTGGAAATGGTTGCGTCACTTTTAATGCCCCTATATCTTTCACCCATATCAATTTCCCGAACAATTTGTCCGTCCCACGTCAGTAAGTGTCCAAGGCCTACTCACAGAAATGAAATCCAAAGTGAGAAAACAACAAAGCATCTGAAACTTGAGGAAAAATCACCAAGTTTTGTCCGTCTCAAGTTATTTCCCTTTATTATTTGCATGAGGAAAAGCGAAAGTGTGCGAAAAGCGGCAAAGGAAAAGCCAAAGCAATAGGCCTTCCGCTCCAGACGAAGATAAAGGTGCTAGAGCCCAGCCTTAATTATAATCAAAACCAGGGCAGAAATAATAAAAGAATGAAATGAGCACGCCAAAGGAATTCGCCAAAGATAAACAGACAACAGGTCGAGGAAAAGAGCAGGAAACTCCAAACGGAGAAGCAGAGAATCGCGGGAAAACTAGGAAAAGCGGGGGGAAATGAGATGACAATGAGGCTGTGACTATTGTTATTACCGGGTCGCGGGGCTAGAGATTTTTCAGATTTTTGCCTGTGTTATTTCTGGCTCCCCTTGGCAGTACAATGGTCGAAAATATGCCAGGACGAAATAAAATGCGAATAAAATGTCATGGCATTTCACAATTACAGCGACAGCTGAAATTTAGCATAGACCAGTCCCATTTTTGCCCGTGCCAGGATCCTCGGCCAAATGCCAAAACAGGACACTTTAATAGACCTCACTTTAGGAGGAAATTTTGTGGGCCACGAGGAGCGGCACTTTGAGGCGCAGAACGAGAAGTGCCGGAAGGCGAGCGGAAACTCAAGGAAATAGACAAATTGTCGCTGACATTTTGCGGGTGCAATCAGCACAGATGCTTCCTCGTCTGCTCTAAAGTGCAAATTAAATTTAATATTATTACAGCACTTCGTGGGCACTGAGAAAAATTTTAAATGCTGTTCAAATTGGTGGATTTATAAATATTTTTATATTTTTTATAAAGGATTATCTTCTTCGAACACTATAATAAAAACCATATTCTTAATCGTTATTAATGTTAACACTGCAACTTTTTTTTGGTCTAAGTTTCATTTGTTTTCAAAATCTTATTGGTGGATTTATAAATATTTTTATAGTTTTTATAAAGGATTATCTTCTTCGAAGACTATAATAAACTATAATATGCGTTGTTAATATTAACACTGCAACTTATTTTTGGTCAAAGTTTGATTTGTTTTCAAAATCCTATTCAGGATGCTAGATGTTTTTAAATATTTTTGCAAAGTAATTCTGTCTGCCTTGTCCAAAACCATCTCTAACAGCCTTTTACCCTTGTTTCCCCGCAGGAATCGCCTGGAGTCCAATTCGGAGCACTGGAACGCCCTGCTATTGTCGCTCCGCGAACTGACCGAGTGGGTTATCCGCAAGGACACCGAACTGAGTACTTTGGGCTTGGGTCCTGTTCGAGGCGATGCCGCCAGTCTACAGAAACAGTTGGTAAGTCCTGGCAATGGGTCATGCAACCTTTTTTCATTTCCCACTCCAGCTCGTTCAACGACCCAATTTCATACTACTTTTCTTCATTTTTTGCATTTTATTTTTACTTGAAACTCTCCGGGGGCTCCGCCTCAATTTGTTTGTCCGCTGGCCAACTAATTGTGTGGAAGTTTTGGCCTGCGTCGTCTCTTGACACATTCTCAGGTCCCGGGTTTAATGATGCCAAGAGTAACTTGGCCAGCTGCCACTTAGCATTTTCGGTCCCAAGTTTTCTGGTGTCTAATTATATAATACGCGGAAATACCTTAAGTATATTTAAGCCATGTACAGGCTTATTTGAGCGTAAACACCATTTCCAACTGATCCGGCATTTGCAGTTTGATTTGGGTAAACAGTTTAGACTTGAAGCAATGCAATCATATCGCAATTAGCACAATTGTATTCCGAGTCTGTTGAAGCGCAATGAAAATTTGCGTACTGCCAAATCAATTGCTATGGTATACTTGAATGAGTCAATGAATGAGAATCAATGCGATCCGTATCCATACTCACCCTCTAAATATAAAAACAGGGTCGATCAGCTTTAAATATTTTATGCGAGCGAATATTAAATCCCAATCTTTCTCACATCCTGCAGAGAAGCACATAAATCGCTATATGTTTTTCGCAACGTACCGTATCCATGTATTTAATGGCTTGCAATAGAACCCGGATTTTAGTTGTTATTTTCGGCTAAGCAGCCGCCAGACCTCCTTTCGAGTAGAATCAACTTGACCGAGTTGCGTATTCGACCTCGCCCTCGATTGGGCGATTTCAGAATTCTTAAATAATTGTTAAATGATGCTTGTTATGTCAAAAACATGGACACACTCGCCCGATTCCACACATCCTGCCACACATGGGGCGCAATCACTTAGGGACCTGCCTGAAAAGGGAAGTAAGGGAATTAGGGAAAAAGTGTAAGGAGCAGCCAAGCAGGCCACTCTCCGAATGGGAAAACACTGTCTCACACAGCATGAGGCACTTGAATTTCACTTGGCCCCACTTACAGCCCCAGATCCGAGCTCCGAGCTCCAAGAAACAAGTGAGCGGAGCAGCTGGAAAAAAATGAGTCAACTTTCACCCCGTGGAGAGGAAAAGGAAAGGGGCATCAGCAGGGGGCAGTGTATAAATCTATTGCCTGCCACTAAGTTACGGTCTGCCGAACATTTACATTTCGGCCTGAAGATTTTATTTGCCAGCGAACGAAGGATTCAGCCATCGGCCACTAAAGTCCGGGTCCAGCCCTCTCGGCCCGATGTTTTATATTGTTGCATTTTGTTATTCCCCAACTAAATGCATTAAACACGAGAATTTATTGCCTTGGGCTGCAGAAGATGCCATTCCCTTGATAGTTTATGGGCCTTGACCACTTCAACTGTAGCTTACAGACGGCTACCAAAAATCAGGAAAACCTAAACATGCTTTTATATACGAGTATATAGTTATAGCACAAGAGTTCCATTCATTCATGTATTGCATTCATGCCGTTCCACTTGCAGGACGATCATAAAGCCTTTCGCCGCCAATTGGAGGATAAGCGGCCAATTGTCGAGAGCAATTTAACGAGCGGTCGTCAGTACATCGCCAACGAAGCAGCCGTCTCGGATACCAGCGATACGGAGGGTAAGTTTTATGACCACCAACGACACACTAAAAAGTCGCCAGCTAAACTACCCATTAAGTGGACCACAAAAAGGTTTTCCATGAATCTCGTCAAGTGCTCTTGTGGCGCAAAACTGAAATTGGATTTGTTGGGGTCGGTGCAGAATCATGATCTATAAAATGCCCGTGGTAAAATGGAGTCTCCTAGTAATGGGATACTTATGGAGTTCGTTGACACGTTCTTCCAAGGGATTTTGCTATTGAAGGGTTAGGATCTGACCTCGAACACCGACGTGCAATATTAATTCTGTCTTTGATAGAGCTACACAAAATTATAAATTCACTTTTATATGAGTCTATGTTAATTAAATCTTGCCTTAGTCTAAAAAGTTTACACACATAGCACCACCTTGAAATGAATATTGTGGCAATCCTTCTTGGTATTGCATGAATTCTGCATTATTTTTCAACTTTTTATTCGTTTATTCGTTCTATTCGTTCGACATTCCCTCGAGCATTTTGCAATTGATTGAACTTTCTGTCGAATATCTCTCACGAATCACCGAAAAACTAACATGTAAGAATTTGCTTTAACTATTTTACAAAAGCTTAGGAAGCTCAAAAACCACACTCACACTCACACCAGCACGCATACAAATACAAATCCAAGGATTGTACTTCGGAACGTGAGCGCCTAAAAGTAGACAACTGTTGTTGGGCAACCAGAGAATTGCCAATTGATTTTGCACCACCACACGTATAGACCCGATCTAAAACCCCCAAAACCTCAGTGCTGGCTTTAGTTGGCATCGTAGTTTTTTTTTGTAGCCTTTAGTTAACAATTTAGCAAATGGCTGTGTGGATTTAGTTCGGTGGCAGAGGCTGGAGCTTGGTTGGGGATTTGTTTTCGTTTTTTTCTGGCATGGGGAGGTTGTGGCAAGGCTGGGAAGGCGTCAATGATAATTGCGACCAGAGCAATTAGAGCGATTAGTACGCTATTAGTGCCAGCCATCAGCTGTGGGAGAGATTTGGCCGAGTCCCCATCACACCGTCAGTTTGTGGCCTTTGATTTTAGCCGTTCTTTTTCCTGTACCGAGTTAAATGAATGTGAATGCCTACGATTAGCTAGTATTAGTATTATAGTTATAGTAGTATAGTACGGGCATTGTGTATTGGCAAATTGAGCTGTAGAGCTCGACAAAACCAAGTTTTAATCGGGTTTATATGGTCCAGCTCAGTTTTGGATACAGATCTTTAATTCGTGTATTGTATTGTGCCAATAAAAATATATTTATTTTTATATTTCCTCAAAACCCACCAATATTCATTTCAATATCAACTTTTATGCAAGTTCTTTCTATAAAGTCAGAATTGAAAAAGAAAAGTTTCGCTCCAGAAAGGCAGCGATGCGAGCAAAAAGCAGAAAACATGCAGAGCGATAAACTCAATCTTTAAATTGAATTTGAATATTACAACGGAACTTCGATGGAGACGGGATGGGAAAACTCAGCTCAACTCTCGATATTTGCTTAGCATCACATTACCAGCTGTCCAACCTCTCCTTTGGCCATAAAAGTTGCTCGCTGTCTCCGTCCGTGCATTAAATTAAATTCGGATTTAGCCAACTTTGAGTTCGCCTTGTTGCCTTCTTTTCTGTGCGACTGTTTTGGCCTGCCCATAAAGCAGCAGGAGCAGCAGAAGCAGTAGCAGCATGGGAAGGAGCAGCAGCTGCCACTCGACTATCAGTCAGTTGGTCCTTTCGTCCAAGGATCTGCTATTGCATTTCCCTTCGCCGCAGAGCGCGTCAGTTTGTCTTTCAAATTTCCTGACACTTTTCCTTTTCGATTTTCCCACTGCCGACGACGACTGGCTTTGGCTCTCATCTTTCGCTGTTGTGGAAGGAAATAGCTGAGCTGCTCTGTTGCTTTTTGCGGTCTCATCGAAGCTAATCGATGGCTTAAAGACATCGATGTGAATCGAGTTTGCCTCGAAACTTTTGCTTTAACTTGCCCGGCCAGCTAATTGATTCCCCTGCCGAATCAAGTTTGAGTTTCCCTTTGTTTCCACTCAGCTTGTGGGCTGGCTTTCCCCCAGAGCTTACCTGTCCGAGAGATTATTTTATTGCAAATTTAATCACGGGCTGCAATCGGCATAATCAAGGATGCCAAAGATGCCAGTTCGGCAGCACACAATCATCGAGCCATAATATCATCTCTAATTCATAAACTCCTGTGCGTGCCAGGTGGGGAATCCTGGCGGGATCCTCCTCAATTTGACGGCAGCGCAATTGTCTTTTTGCCAGAACTTTGTCTTTGTCTTTGACTTTGACTTGATTTTCACAAATTTAGTAACGAACATTTCCTTATCATAATCTCTTCCCTCTCCCCGCAGCCAACCATGATTCCGACTCGCGTTACATGTCCGCCGAGGAGCAGAGCCGTGAGCTAACACGCAGCATCCGGCGGGAGGTGGGAAAACTTTCCGAGCAGTGGAACAATCTAATCGATAGATCTGACAATTGGAAGCATCGCCTGGATGAGTACATGACGGTAAGTCGAGACTCGCAACTTTTGCCTCTCATTTCCTGCGTGACATTTTCGTAATTTGACTTTGGGGCCTCGTGGAAATTTGAACTCGAACTGGCGCGTAATTTTCCATTTTTACAACTGCTCGTTAAGTGTCCCTTCTTTGATGGGAGAAAAGGGCACATCGAATTTAGTTTGTTTTTCCGAATAAGTATATTCCTGGCATATTTTCCGCTGCGAAAATACTTTATTCAATTACATTCGCTGTGGCCACAACAAAAAGTTTATTTCCAGCTCCGAATACTTTGTCCTTTTTCGTTTCCTGCATTTTTTGGGCTAATAAATGCAAGTGTGTTTTTTATGACGCCAGTCGTTCGAGGCTTAGTCTGTCGCACAACAACAACACAATATATTCCACCGCAAGGACATGAATGTGTGGACAGGATAGCGCAACGGGACGGGGGAAAGGAGGCTATTTCGGATGTCTGCTGCTGGCATCGTTACTCATACGCACCGTAAATTTGATGCAACAATGTTTGATCGCATAAAAACGTCACGCAGACTGTGCAAACAATGGCTTCAACATGGGACACACCAGTCCCCATTTCGGGGCAAAAACAACTCGTTCAGAGGGCACAAAATGTATAAAATATCAAAGCGCATAAAGTGCACATATTGTATGCGATACTCGTCCGCTCTTGTGCGAGTTTTTGTAGGTGGCATACTCTCAGCGGCCAGCCAAGCGAAAGTCAATGCTTCAGAAAAGCAATACAGGGGGAAATGGCACTACCAAAAGGCAATAGTCATGAAAATCGAGAAATCCTGGAATCAAAACAGCAGCAAGCACATAAAAACAGCGCTTGAGTTGTACTTGTAGTCGGAAATAAAGTTTTCTCAATTTCACTTGCTCAATAGAAGACCCAGCTAAGCTAATAAATGCTTAAACATAAATCATAATCTGAAGTAAGCCACCAAACAATACCGAATTTTCCTATTATTCATACTTATCCACTTTTTGTTTTAAATCATGAGTTCTCTTGATAGATTAATTGTACTATTGGGATTTTGGAAAACATGTTTGTTGGCCCTTTTGCAGGCAGATCTAATCAAAGCAAAATGTTGACCCAGTTGTAGGCTTAATATAACGAAACTATAAATTTATTATGGTGTCTGCGGCGAGGTTATGAAAACCGTTTAAAATTCAAATAAATTCGTCCGTTTGATTTCCACTTCGGCTAAATTTGTTCAAACGAATTTAATAACGCGTTTGCCGCCGCACTTTTTCAAATGGTTCTTGATAAATTCGTTTTGGTTAACTGGTTTCCGGTTCACTCGATTCCCGACCAATTGGATCAGCGGAAATCGACGGAAAATAATCTCTCAATGCCACTCGACACCCAGGAAAATTGCAGACTCCTCGAAAGTGCTTAACAGTGTAGTGCGTTTCATATTTTTTCGGACTAGCATACAAATCAAGTTAAAAGCGGCTGAAAAACTCGTTACCTACCTGTAAAAGTTGGTCAACTTTTATGGCAGTACTCGCCCAGCCTTACACGAAAATGTTTTTTAATTTTTTCCTGGCGAAACAGAAAATACTGATAAGGAAAACTTTTTTCAAAATTATAAATGTGCAAAAATTAAAAGGGGAGTGTACGCATTAAAAGGGGAGACAAAAGTGAAAATTAAAAAAGAAACGACGGAAGAAAGTTTGCCGGCTAGAAAAAATCGAAAAGTTTGGTGCGCTTGGCATATAAAAAGTTTAAATAAATGCAACTTAAAACAATTACACGGATGCAGAGCAGGGAAGAAATAAGGGTACGGGGGAGAATCTGCAAACTTTGCGACTGTTTTATGAAAGCCTGGATGGGCCACGTTAAATGAAGTCGCCAAATAGCTGAGGCAAAGTTTAGCCAGTGTAGTATCCGAAGCGAAACCCTTCCTCCCCTTTAAGCCACTGAATAGTGGTCAGCTTGGGTAATTGACCACAGGGAGAAAATTTCTATTAATTGAATAAAAACTTTTTGTGGGCAAATGCCATTTGCAAGGCAGGGCGAAGGGATGTATTTGGAGCCTATCAGGAGAGGAATTATCTGACATTTTCGAGAATCTCCTTTACATATCGATTTGGTATTTAAGCAATTAATGGCAGTTAATAAAATTACAGTGCAGACAAGGAAAAATATTGAATCAGAACCGTAGGTTCCCCTAGCGTGCACTTGCAATCAAGCATTCAACCTTAATGAAGTTTGATTAGTACTGGCTTTGGTAAGCCTCAATGCAATGCCCAGCCAGACTCTTCAATCAAACTGGTAGGCATCTCCACATCTCCACATCCACAAGCCCACCGTGCTCCTCTTGGTGCATGGCGCCCATCAACATCAATGTCACGCCGAAATTCCTTGGCAATCGCCCACAAACTCAATCAGATGTGGAATGTCGGCCCTGCCATGCTAATGAAAAGGGTTGGTCGGAGCAGACAATGCCACAGAACTACTTCTGGCTCATTTGGCAAATAATTCGAGATTCTGAATTTTATGGAGTTGGCTCGACAAGAGCAGAGGAACGGGCTGCTCCAAATGCGTGAATGCGAATCCCCATGCGGAGCACGCTCCAGAGAATCCAATCGAATCGAATGGAATCGGAGAACCGTCCACTTAAAATGGGTAAACTGTGGAATTGGCAGTCCGCAGTGGCATGCTGAATGGACGCTAAAAAGCAATTGCTTAACGCTTTGAAATATGTTTCATTGATTTCCCGGAAAATTGCTGCAAAAATAGCAGCAAGCAGTGTAAGGGCAGTCAGCTCTGGCCATAATTTAACCACATGTGGTCGATATGGAAGCAGGACATGGGAAGGCAACTTATTTAACCCCTTATGGTCACTCGGACGAAGCTGCTGCTACTTGGACGTTGTCCTCTGCTCCTCTGGCCACTTCAAGTAAAAGCTGCTGAAAAATGTCCTTGCTGAGGCTAAAAGTTTTCGTTGCAGCTTGTGTTTGTGCTTGGTTTATTATGCAGGCTGGGACACACAATGAAATCAATTTAGTTAGCTGCCTCGCCCTCACTTCGACACAAAATAGTTTAATAAATCACTCATACGCAGTGTGTGATGCATGTGCGAGCGCTTGTGCTCGGTGGCCAGTGATTTATGGCACACTTTGCGAACTACTAGCCCCGGTTGACACTAGCAGAAATATTATCTATGGAAATTTTGATTTAGCAACAGGGATTACCGACTGGGCAGTAAGCAACAAAAGCTAATAAAACAATTTCGTAAATATTGTGCACATGCACACTTGTCCTTAGCCAAGACAACAACCCAACCAAGTGGAAACGGTGCCTAGAAGTATGCAACATTTATGAATCATTTATGAATTGAAAATGGTAAAAAATTGCCTATTAAAATGTGACTTAAATTATTTTCAAAAACAAAGGTGTATATTATAAATTGGTAAAAAGAAACATATAATTTAATAGCTTTACATATGTTTGGCTTATAGAAATAAATGAATTCAATTCAATTCATTTGCTTAATGGCAATCCCAATAATCCCGTTTTAACATAAATTAATGGGGAATTAATCCATTTAAATACCCCCTTTTAAAATTAATACACTTCGAAATGGTTATCCAAATAAAGGACTTTCGCCATAATAAAATGCCTCCTTTAACAAGGATAAAAAGTGGAGTAACAAGAAGTGTCAACAGAAGACAGCAGCTGAGAGCTGTGGAAAATGGGCGAAAATTACACGTCAAGTATAGAAAAATATATCATTTCTCCTCAACCGCATGGGAAATCAATTGATTGTCACGCAAAAATTCCTTAACCATGCGGCTTTCTGCTCTCCGTTTATTTTTACGGCTGTAACTGGGAGTGGATCCTTTGCAACGCCCACAATCATCGTAATAACCGCATATTGCACTCCAGTGTCTGACTTTTTGCGCCATTTTATTTTTGCTTTTTGTGTCTATCTCTTCGTTTTTTATTGCGCTCTTGTTTGCGCAAACTGCACAAAAATGCCACGAAATGTAACCAATGTATAATTGTCAAACGTGTTGTGCTTTATATTGCCACACACAGAGTTTCCTCTATTTGGAACGTGGCTCACCATATGGACAATTCATTTGGCCTGTCAATATTTCTGCACGATTCTGCTCCTTTTTCCATTGGCCAACGGCGCCATTTTGTGCGGCAGTCAACTTTTTCCAATTTCACCCTGTTGACCCTTCTGCAGGGTCGAGGATTTTCATTTCATAAATATTTGCCATTTATTGTATGTTTTTCTTCTGACTGGCGTTCGTGGGAGCAAAAACAAACATTTGGTAAATATTTGCCGGCGGGCTTACAATATGGCATGAAATAGTTCTCTAATTGGCATTGCTTTTCCATTAAGTGGGACGGGGTAGTAGAAGTTATAAAAATAGGGATATTCCGAAAACATTGGTCATATTTTAATGAAAATACTCGTGGTTTATTTATTAATAAGCTGGTTCTGCATTCATATACGTCAAATCCACTGTCTTGAATAATTTTGTAAGTTCAGAGCTCCAACGAAAGTTTGTGTTATCAGCAGTCTCTTTTGAAATCTCCCGTTCATTAATAAGTGCCACAAACAAAACAAAACTGAGATACTCAAACCAACACGAAATAGACAGAGGAAGTATGCAAAAACCTCATAAAACAATTAGAAGCCAAGCAACAGAGGAAGAGAATTCAATTTCATTTTCCGAATTCAGGGAATCCGAATCCCAGATGCATTTTTGGCGTTAGGATTTTTGTCGGTTTGCTTTTCGGTTTCTGTTTTTATCTTGGCATACGACAAATCGCCTGGCCAAAGATAAATATTCACACGAGGGTGGAGATGGAGGAAATACTGCCCTACAAGGTGGCAGACTGGAAAGGAAAATTATGAGCTCGAAAATAGATTTTCCGGCCGCACTTCGCAGACAGAGAGGCAAACGAACTATTGCTGAAGATTTGGCCCCCTCTCCGTCGTTTTTTTGTCGCGTCTGCAGTTCATAAATTTCCACATTTTCCACATCCTTTTCCCCGCCTTTTAAAGCAAGTGTAGGCTTAAGACAATCCCAAAAAAGAAAAATACGCTTCAGAGCTGGGGGCATTTTTCACACTTTGTCACGTGTGAGCGGACAAACGGGAAAAATATATACCAATTTTGCATTTCTCTTTTTTGTAAGCCGCAAAAAAAATAAAAAGTAACGCATTTTCGTTACAAGATTCGCCTGGCAGAATATAATAAAAACTAGACATCAGTTAGGGATATGGAAATAAACTCAAAGCTGGAAATACAATTCAGAAGCACTTAAACAATAGTTTTAAAACAACATTTAAGTGCTTCTTTCTTCACATTTCTTTGATTTGTATGAAAGGCGGAACTCGAAAAAAAATCAGATTACAATAAATTACTTAAAACATATAGGTTTGAATTATTTTCACTACATCCCTTTTGAAAACTCTCTTTTTATTCCACACCCAAACAACACACATATTTGTTGTGAGTCACAAGAATCATTCATTGAAAAACGAGTCCCATGAGAACAAAAATCGCGCAAAAAATGCGTGTAAATTATCAAATAAAAATGTCATAAAAACAAACGAGTAAAACCAACCAAAACAAAACAAACCAAAAATGCGGGAAGATAAAGAGCGACCACAAAAACACGCCATTCAAATGCATTTATAAATTGTATCGAAATGAGCCCCAAACTCGGGCAATAAATAAAGCCACGCACGGCCAGGGAGGGGCGAAGAAGTATCTGGCAGATTGAAAAATTATAACAACACTCGTGAGTGGCACTCAATTGGAGCACTCAGCGTGACAACCACTTAATGAGTTAACCTAACGAGTGAGTGGCAGAGGCAGGTTGAGTGGATAGTGCAGCATGAAGACATAAACAAGGCATAAACAAAACTCGCAGAGTGAGCAACAAGTTCTTGGCGAGAGAACAAGTTTCGTTTTTTGGAAGTGTGAGTTTTTTCGAGTGTTTTCCGAGTGTTTTTGAGTATCTTTTGAGTGCTTTTTCGAGTGCTGCAGCGCCTCGCTCTCCATCGCTCGCCGGCTTTGTTGTTGGGTCAGTTTTCGAAACGGCGGCGCGTAAGCTGGTTGCGTTTTTTGTCGTGATCGCAATCTGCCGGTAAAAAAAGTACAAAAAAGATAGTACCCATGAAAAAAATCAGATTCCTAACTCAAGGATCATTTTTAAAAAAACGTAACCTCACAGAAAAAGTGTTTAAAGTGCGAAAAATATTCCCCAGTTATATATTCACCTTCTCAGTCGCAATTGTAAACCAACGTCGGGGAAAAAAATTGCAGAAATAAATTGTTCTGGTGTTATACTTTATTTTTTCAGTGGCAAAACAAACGAAAGTAACAAGAGTAATAAGGTCGAATTTATTATAATCATTTTTCGTCAACGCTGTGGCCACCAGACAACCAGACAACCAGAGTAACAACAGAAAGTATAATAGCACCAGAACTTAGTGCATTTGTGTTGTGTGATAAATGAAACAAAAATTCTTTGTAACAGTCACGTTTAAAAGTGTGCGCACTTTTCACCAACTTGTGGTAGCGCGTGTTCAATACACCATTATTTTCACCGCCGTTCTTAAACGGCAAATGAACACTAAAAATCGTAAATCGCACAAGAAATGTGCAGTGATTTTGTTTTCTCTCCCGTGGCGATGGGAACAACTGCTTAAAAAACATGACAACGGCGTTAAGAAAAATTATGCTAGTTCAGCTTTTGGCGAGTAGAAATTACAATATGGCAAACGCAATGGAAGTGTATTTTAAAGAATTATCACGGGAAAGCGCCCATCTCACTCTCTCGCTGACTCGTTTGTGTGGGTAGAATGCACAGCGAGAAAATGGTCCTGGGTTGCGAATTCACAAATTAATACAACTTCAGTCTCACTCTTTACAAGCCAACTGCCCAAGGTTTGACGTTCTGTCAGATACTTAAAGTAATTGCCTGCCGAGAATCCGAAGATAGGCTTAGTTCTGGAAATTCCTTCACATCCGAGAGGAATCCCATTTGCATCTCGGCGAGCAGCAAATCTCTCGAGGTGTGGATGCTCAATATCCCACGCGAAACTGTCGAAAAGGAGAACTCAGGGGGGAAAAGATACACAACCTGGGGAACCGAGGATTTCCTCTTGGCAAGGTCGTTTGTTATTATTTACTTAGCATTTTATTGAATTTTGTTGGGCGCGCATAAGGAGATTTAGTGTCCTGCCCGTTTTATTTGTTAAAGTTGTCTCTTACTTCGCCGTCTTTGCTTGCGCTGTATCTTATTCTCCTTTGTTGTCGCTTTATCTTTGTCATCGTTCCGAGTGTTACTCGTGTTTCCATATGGAAATACATATATCTTTGCATCTCAAAGCTTAACAGTTTTGCATTGTGCCTCAGCATCTTGAGTTTGAGTTGTTGTTCTTGCGCATATAACTTGTTATATGCTTATCTGGCAGGGACACATTGTTGTTCCTTTACTCATTTTTTAATGGTTTTCAGTGTCAGTTGCTTAATTGGAGCGCATGTGACTCAAATCGGCGGCACACTGGCGCCATCTGCCTGGCCACTCGACTTTTCTCGCCTCTGTTAAACTTTCTAAACTCCATCAATACGGGTATGGTTAATTTATTTGCTCGGACGGACTGCCCGCTGTGGCCCCAATTTTCGACGATTTCCGTTCCTTAACCCCTGCCAAATATCATTGTCTCCCGATCTTCGCGATGATGTCAGCTTGAAGTTGAAATATTAACACCCATGCATACTGTGTTTCTGTTCATTGCAGTTTTCATTATCTATCACGAATGCTTAATTCCCTGTCTAAGTGATCACATTTCTTGTTTTATTTTTCCAGCCGCAATCCGTATCGGTTGTATCGGAAATTCTAATTTCCAACACGCTCAAAGTATGTTTTCTATTTTCCTTTGTTTTCCCATAATTTGTCTGTCGTTCACATTCCTGTTTTTATTAACCCATGAGCGCTGGTGGGAGCCCCTGCCCCCAAAAGAAATGAATCTCACCCCATAACAATAATATTCATTTGGCACAAGAGCAATTCCCATTTCCATTTGCATTCCGGTTACAAGTAGAACATCATCAATGTGACACATTTATCTAACATAACAGATAGCTCTGGTACTTTAAGGGGCTTAAGGGCCAGATCCGTATCGCCCATGCGATATGGTGCTTTTTTATTGAAGATGTTGACAAGGCATTAAAATTATTGCGTACGACGACCAATAAAACAGCGGGCAGCGGCTTGTGGGGATTTGGAACTCGAACTCTGTGAGGGGCGACCCACTTGAACTGCCAGACAGTCGCGATAAGAAAGATTCCTAACTCATCTGCGCTGCCGCAGCAATGAATCTCAATTGAAAGCCCAAATGTTAATAGTGAGTCACTAAGTATTTTGATTTTTCTGACTGCCCCGGAGCAACGACCAATTAAGGAGTAGTTCTACAGCTGTCAGCTGGATGAATTCGAGGCGAACACAATCGGTTGCCTCATTTTGTTCGGGGAATCTAGTTCAACCTATTGACACTGACGATTTCCAATAACCCCAAAGCGATTCGACCTTGGGCGTCGTTTAGCTACCGATTGGAAACCCAGTTCCCACACGAAGATCTGCTTTCAGTAGGAACCAAATATCCAAATATTTTGCTGTCTGGTTTCGGGTTCTGATGAGCCGGCGCTTTTCCCATTTGCCAGCCAACACACCGATACGTACGATAAGTCTCGCCTTTCGCGAATTTCACTTAAATTTCTCGAATTCACTTATTTATTTATATGCATTATACTTGTATTTACCCGCCGCAGTCTGCGAATTTTGCGATTGCCGCTGCTGCTCGCCATGTGCTCGGCATTTTCGTACATTTCACGTACTAAACGCCATTTAAACGTCATATTTAAACATGCCTGTACCTATCATATGTACCTATATACATATGCATATGCATATGGTATGTAAAACTCTGTAAACAAACACCAGCGCCTGAGATCGGATACCCATCATGTGCTTCTGTTTTATTGCGTTCCATTCGGATCTGTTGTTTTGGGTTGAAGAAGGCGGTTCCGTTCCTCTGTGGACTTTGGTTACTCTGGATTTTAAGTACATGCATGTGTTTATAAGAAGAGCTTTTCGAGTAAGGAATTCACCAAGTTACTCGAGACTTCTGCAGCTGCATTATGAAATCATCAGACTGACAAAGATAAGGGGTTATGTGGTGGTATTAAGGGGTTATTCAAAATCAAGGGTGCAGTGCAGGGTTTTCTAGGAATTTCGGGCTTTAAGGGTGTCAATTACATGGATATTTTTGAGAATTAAGGGAAATTCTTTGGAACGCAAGCTAAACTTCAAAACAAACCATTTACTTGTTCAATCAATAAAATATTTTGTCTCATTTATTTTATATACGAGTTTATATCAATACAATATTACTTTTAAGGGATACATTTCAAATGGTTTTACTTTATATCCAAAATGTTCTTGCTACAACATTTGAGCAACCCAATGGCACTGCATCCCATAAGTAACGCATAGCCGCAAAATTGTTCACTATTCCGCCAAATTGGGCAAAAAGTAATCTATCCACACAAGCTCACTTACTGGCCACATCCCTATATGAGGAACATCTTGCGTTGTGGCCTCAGATTTTGTGTGTTGTTCCCTGGATGCCGACCATGTGTTCGCCATGCCCCCTTGCAAGTTCCCCCTCTGGCGTTCCGAGCTGCAAACAGTTCAGTTAAAAGCTGAAAATTGTTTATGCTAATTGCACTTAATTTATGCATGCGTACTGTGCCTGATGAATGTCTGTGCGAGTGGGAGCGGGATGCACAAGTATCTGTAAGATACCGCACTACATGTTGCGCCTGTCACATTTATTAGTACGCCAAATGCGCGAGTGGAGTAAATATTTGTTTCGGCACAATTAAGGCTTCCACCGCGCCCAAAAAAAAGTGGGTAATGTGAGCAGCCATTCGAGGCACATTCCAAGTGCCACTTGGCATTTGGAGGAGATTCGCACACGCGAGGGAGCACTCATACCTAATATCTAAGCCTGGGCAAATGTCAGGCAATCCCGTGGCTTAGTCCTGTCGCCATTGCGACGGTGTCTATTTCGGCCAATTAATATGCAGTTAATGGTGCTAACGGTGTGACGTGCTTATTTATAGGCCCGCAGATGCGACTGCAAAAGGCAACTGCAGGCGAATGGCGAATGGCGAATGGCAAATGCAACTCAATTCCACCAGCGCCAAATAAATGGCTGGCACTCGCAGCTCAGACATCAGCCTGGCGCCACAGCACACATTTTGCATGTCAATTCGATGGAGGACAGGGCGGCAGGAGGGCTTTTCGCCTAAAAAGTATCTGCCGGATTGCATAAGAAAGTCGGGCATTTTCGCCGTTGTCAGGGTGTGGAGTAAAGTTCACTCGACTATTCCGATACATCTACATCTGTCCCGGGAATGAAACTCGCAGCGAATAACATTTTATGTGCATAAAGTTTAGCCGAGCAAAATGCAGTTGGATATCTTGAGCTGTAGGGAAATATTATAAATAAGGAACAAAATTTAATTCAAGTCGAGTTGGCTCAGCTTAAGACTGAGCATATTGTATATAATATTTATTTTTGCTAAGAAAAATGTTTCATAAAAGATTCTTTGACCAAAAAAGTTCAGTTTTAAGAGCAACTGCAACATCACCAATGTCTGGTGAAGTAAATACATGAATATCTGCCAAAAAGTTATGACAAATTCCAAAGAGAATGCAGCTCGGCAGTCGAATGCATGAATCAAATTCTGTATCTCAATGAACAAGTGGCATTTGCTGCCGGTTTTATCTATCGACAAGCTTACAAACCGATGGGAGAAAAAGTATCTGACAAACGGAGCGATTCAGGTAATCTGAATTGGCAGCCTCACTTTGTTCGCATTGTTCGCTCTCCGTGGCTGTGTGATACACATAAACCCGTATGTATTTACAGATTGGGACAATTTGGTTTATTGGCCCAAGACATGGCGGGAGTTTTTGCCCGATTCCTCACGTAGCCAACTTGCTGCAGATACGTTTTTTTGCCCATCCTCACGCACTTGAAGTGGAAAACAGTGGCAGCTGTCAATGGGGCGTCGATGTCAGTTGTGTTTCGATCAATTAAAAAATTGCTGCACTAATTGTGGCGTGTTTATCGGCAACATTTGCTGCCGCTGCAGCGCTGACACAATCACTTTAATTGAACAATTATGCAGTTGCACTCAATTAAATGCCAAGCGCCTCCTTTTTGGGGAGATAGCTCAATTAGAAGTCCTGGGAAATAAATAAAACTTCATTGCCCAACCCAAGTCAATGCCTCTGTTAACTGCTGATCAAAACCCAGTCTCATATTATGCAAATCACTGGAGCAAACAGTTTACCCAAGAGGCGCACTCTAAACCTGTGACAGAAGCCAAGTATTCATGATTCCTAATGCCCTAATGAGCTCAAATGTTTGTCCAAATGTTGACAGCCCAATTGAGCAGAAAATGTACTCTTGCGCAGAAGGGGGGAGGAAACTTAGGGAAAATTTCGTCAGGTACTACCCATCGGATTTGAGTCATTAATCAAAGTCGGAGTTCGGCCCGCATCAAAGTCTGCAAACCAAATCGAATCCGGCGTATTTAGTCAGCCGTGAAGCATTACCAAACTATTATAAAATGGCCAGCAAAAGGGGAAAAGAAAGTTACAATTGGAAAAGCTTTTCCCAGCGACAAAATCCCTAATGCAGTTTTAATTGGAGCCTTATTTATGTTCCAGCATAGAGAAATTCCAACTTAAAGACGACAAAAAATCTATGGAGTCATGTTTGGATTACCACTTCAAATACCCACCTAATTCATCGATTTTTATTTGCATACTCTGGACCCAAACATGCATAACAATAATTTTTGGTTATTCCACTTATATTTGCGCAGCAGCAATATAAACATTTCTCTTTATGATTATTTTAATTGAATAAATACTGGCAGTGTGTGACCGAACAGCCACCCACCAAAAGCATTCAACCTGCAAGCTGCGCAATTTCTCTCCAATTTATTTATTAAATAAACATTTTCCGATTACCTTTATGATGCTACTGGTTGGCTTCTTTTCGGGCTGCCAGTTGCCAGAGTGATTAGTCAGAGCTTTTATCTAAAATGGTCTGGTCTATCCAAAACAAATATAAAAGTTGTGGGAATTCATTGTGCGTCCAAATTGGCTTAATCTTTTGCTGCACAGAAAGCAAACCGTAAGACGCACCTGGAAAAAATGTTTACTTAAATATTTATTTTTTAATATGCCCAATTTAAGCCGCATAATCTGCAACATCTGTTGACCAGTTTAGCAATTGCTCCAGTTGATAGATAGCACCCGAAATCTTTTATTTTCTTACCCACCTTTTGTTTACTTCCTTGTGAATATTTTTTCAGCCATCGCTGCAAATTGTTTACATTCAACTTTATCGTTTTGTTTAGAGAACTGGGACCATGCACTTTGGGTAATTAGCAGTTTATTTGACCCTGAGCAAAGACCACCGAATTGAGCCAAAAATAGGCCACTGGAAACGATTCGGTGTTGTAAATACCATTCGTTTGGGAGCCCAGCTATGCGAAATCAATAATCATTTAAAATTCAAATGCGAGCAACGCATGAACCGGAAAATGGCGAAATGGCTAAATGACAGGCGAGGAAACAGAGGCCGGCGCATGCAAATTGGAAAAACAGATAATGAAAAATCCGGAAAACGGGGGTGAAGTAGGTTATGCCCTCCATGCTAATGAAATTAAAAATTGATGCTTTGGGGCCAGCGGCGCGCCGTTTTTGTGTGTAAGGAAATCTAGGCGAAAATGCTAAGCAAATGTCGTTTAATAAATTGAAAAGGGCCAAGGAAT